GGGGAATGGTGCTTCTTTAGCAAGTGCTGCTGGGAAAGTTGAGTTTTACTTTTTTACATGAGCTTTATACTAAGGTCATTTGAAAAGCTTTTTATTTAATTGATTTACTTTAACTGCTAATCTAAACCAAATCTTGCATTCAGTTAAGTTGTAAGTATTTTTTAATTTCTGATTTTATGTGTATGGATGTTTGGCATGTATGTATATCCATGCACCACATGTGTTCCTGGTGCCTGAGGAGGCCAAGAGGACATCTGAATCCCCAGGAAGTGGAGTTGACAGACAGTTAGGAGCTGCCGTGTGGGGGCTGGGAATCTAACATGAATTCTCTGTAGGCACAGACAATGCTCTTAACTACTAAGCCGTCTCATTTAGCCCCTACTAAATTAAATTTTAATCATGAAAACGGAAATGACAGTGTATTCGGATTTTGTATGTATTTGTGAAAAGATACAAGCCATTTTGTGTGTGTGTGACTATCCATGTCTCCTGTCTTCCTTTCTGTATTCTCATATTTGCCAAGTCCATACTCACTTCAAGGCCTCTGCACTAATTATACTGCTTCTATACTGCTTAACTTCATTGTTTCATCCAAACTTAAAGTAACTGAGTTCTTGCATTTTGAGTTTGACTCAAAATGTCCCTGACTCCTCACAATAGTGACCTCACATGTATTATCTTTCCAGTTTGGGGCAACATATTGGTGTGTTATATTGTTTGGAAACAACGTCCATGGTTGTGTCCCTAGTACCTAAAACACCACTTGGTATAATGTAAGGTTTTCTAAGCATATCTCTCTGCTAACACATTTTAACCTCTTTTTAAGTTTGTAATCAGTGGGAGTACTCTAGGGAGTACTTTCATTTAGTAATTTATGGTTGAGAAGCACGAATATTTTCCCCACTTTTACTAGTAGAACAAGTTATTAGTGCTATGTCAATGCTAAAACTATTCAGACTTTTTTCATTAATAAGCTAATAAGCACCAAACATGTATGCTTAAAACATAATTTTTGCTATGAAAATTCTTTCTTGTTTCATTAGTTAAGAATTTTCCTCTTATAAAACCTTTTTTTGTAAGACTCTTGAAATAATTTTTAATATTCTCTCCATTCTTCCAGAAAAGCCATGGTAAGTTACTTCAGTAACTCCTAATCCTCATGGATACACTCATTCTGTCACTTTATTTAGAGTGGTATTTAGAAATACACAAGTGTTGATTGATGACGGAAGTCAGTATACTCGATCTATTTCTTTCTCAAAGTTATGGGTCGTGTAGCATTTCGTTGTCAGTAACTGCAGTTGTGTGACATGAATTAATTATAGTGCATTCAGTCATATCTGACTCAAATGCCCGCCTGGAAAGAAAAAAAAAAAAAACTGCTACCAAATATTAAAGCTACATTTCACTTAGGCATGTGGTTTTATTTTTTGTCATTATAAAGTCAAGGAAAATAAATTCTAAAATATAATGAAATCTAAGGGATTTCTGCTTAAATGCTAGAAAAGTATATTTAGTTTATGGAAATCCCTTTATTTTACTCAATAAGTAATGCTTATGACGAAAACTATTTAATGCTTATAACCCACTGTAAAATGAGTATTCTGTTTTATAGAAAAGAGATTCTAAATGTAGACATCTAATGGCCGAGAACCCTCAGTAAGGTGCCTTTAGGCTCCTGCACAATACTTGAGCTCCTCATGATTTGTATTTAACTCTTTAGTAAGTAATTGATTGAAAATAATTTATTGAGATCAGGTTTCTCTGTGTAGCCTTGGTTTTCCTGTAGTCATTTTGTAGAACAGACTGGCCTCAAACTCACAGAGATCCACCTGCCTCTGCCTCCCTGAGTATTGGGATTATAGGCATGTGCCACTGTGCCAGGCTTACTTTTTAACCATCTCATCTTACAAATTCATAATTTAGGTGAGTGGTGGGTGAGTCAGACTCCTTCAAACACGAGTAATAATCAGTCTTTTAACCAAGAAGGGAGACCTGGTGAAATGTCACAGTGATGAGTATAAAACAATGCTGTGGTAACAGATACGATGAAATGAATGGTTGTTTCTTTAAGGGGACAAGAAAAGGTGAAGGGGTGGCCGGAAAGATGAATCGGTGGTTAAGAGTATTGGTTGTTCTTCCAAAGGACCCTGGTTTAAGTACCAGCACCCACCTGGCGGCTATCAGCCATCTGCAGCTCCAGCTCCAGAGGATCTGACGCCCTCTCTGGCCTCAGGGGGCGCTGCATGCACGTGGCACACACGCTGGCAGGACACTCAAACTCATAGTTTAAAAATACCATATTCTTAAAAAAGACCAGAAGGAAAAGACAAAGGAATGGATTTGGAGGTGTGTGTGTGTGTGTGTGTGTGTGTGTGTGTGTGTGTGTGTGTGTGTGTGTGTGTGTGT